TGTGCCAGTGTGAGCAGAGCAAGTGAAAGCCAGGCCGACTTTATGCATAAATAATGTTTGACGTGCAGCAGTGTGACAGGGTGTTTTTAATTTTAATTAAAGCCTCATTGACTTCATTGTCTTTGGATTTGTCTATATTAGTACCAGTGGGAAATATTACATTTTTCTGCCAATGTTGTGACAATTACTTGATAATGGTACATGCTGAAACATAATGCATGAGTAGAAAAGAGTCATAAAGTCAACAAACTCACCATGCGCTACTGGTCGCACCAGACCAAGTGAGGTTGTCGCTGAAAGGTGCATGTGTGTGTTGAATCAGGCAAGGACGCATTTTATTGCTTATTAATTAAACTTTCCAATTTTTAAGAGGAATTATGTGATATTTTGTGGTATTGATTTGGATACTTGTACTAGTTGCTGTCGGATCTTCTTTCCCCTCTCACCTGTTTTAACCCCAGTGTCAATTTCTGCTAATTCATTCATATTTCCAACCTGCCCTGCTGTAACCCCGTTCTTCCCGCCATCACCAAGATCCCCTGACCACACACCTGTTCCCCCTCATTACTCCTGTATCTAACTGCCCACTTCCACTAATTCCCCGTCAGATTGTCGATTGTGCCTCCCTGCCTGCTTGTTAGTTTTTCCAACCTTTGCCTACGCTTTATGACTTTCAGCCCGGTGTCTAGCCCAACATCTGTTTTGTTTGCCTCAGAATTTGTTTGCCTGCTTCTTGCTGACCCCAGCCTGCCACTTGGACTCAGCCTCTCCCTCACTAACTTGTTGTGTTTCTAAGTGTGATAGGTCGGCTCTCAGTTTGGTAATGTCATCATCTTAACACGTACTCCCCATGGAAGCTCTGCCCTTTTGCCTGTCTCACTGCAGGTAAACACCTGGAGACTTTTATTTTCTCATTAAGAGCTGATATATACAGGTATCACTCAGGACCACACCTTTAGGTCAAGTGTGGCTAATGGAACAGGCTAGTCTCCCATGGACTTTTATTGATCAGTTTAGCTCTTTACAGTCACTTGAAGCAACCTGTTGCCCTGTAGGCTGGATAATCTGTTTTGATCTGTATGCCTGTCTTGGTGCTAGATAACATATAACATTAAATGATCTTAACATCTGTTTTACTGGTGCGCACCACAGGGCAGGCATTGGCAGATAATATCCCACTGAGGTAAGTTACCTTGTTAGTCATTCAGTTGTACGTGTGTATATATTGCCTGTGACGTATAACATTGGCTTACATTGTACCGCAGTTGCTGGGAACAAAAGTTACTAAACTAACATCATTTAGTGAGTTTTGTACTATATGTAATGTTTTTTGTCTTTTTAGAGTTACCATAGCTGCTGCTGTTTGCCTGTACTGTGCTGAATCTGTGCCTTGATTTTGTACATGGATTCCTAGTCGACCCAGCTAATATAATATGTGGATGGGCTATCGACATGCTGCTGCCAACTACAAGGGTTTGCTAATATTTCTGTGGGTTTACTCTTTCATGATCGGATCTCAGCTGTTGGCATTAACAGTCTGTTGTTGTTTTTTTGCTCGGACTGTTTGTAATGAAAAGATTACCATAGCTGTGTCTTTTATAACTAATGTTCAATAAATTGAGAAAAAATTCATGTGTCTGCATCATTTTGTTACCACTAATTGTGTCAAACTTTATTTGGTTTACCACCGAGCCAATCTATTGAGTCAGGTGAGATTGTAAACGGCTGTTTCCAAATTTAAGAATGGATTTTGAAACATACTTTACATTGTCCTCATCGTTCTCAGAACAATGTAAATAATGACAATTCCAGGTAGAATTCATCTGCAGAGGAAGACCATGCCATACGAAAGCTCCAGAACAGGTAAAAAATGTATCGTGACATTGTATTTGATTATTTCTTTATTGATGGTCCAGGATATTTTTACAGTAAGGTTTTTATTGAGACACACTGCTTGTAGTATTTTGAAATATATTTAGTCAATTAGTTAAGCAATTATCTCTGTTGATTTCACAACTTTTTTGTTTTTTTGCAGCCCTTGCTTGGATTATTTATTTATTTTTTGTATTGTGAGTTCAATGCCGAACAAGACCTCTGTCCAAAAGATAGTTTTCTTAATGCTGACAGTGTTTAGTGCCTTCTTTTTGTATGCCTTCATTCTCCTTCACGCCTGTGTGCATGAGGCAATATTCAATTAATACAACACAGTAAGAAATGAGCACATACAAAGGTAATCGAACGGAGATAACGTATGTTGGTGGTTTCAGTTAAAACAAATCACATAAACATATTTTTTGCAATATATTTTTATCAGTCTGTAAAGTGACATAGCAACTCTAAAACATAATAATTCAATTTCTTCACTCAAAGGTACAAATGCAACAAAATGTCTCCTTTGTTTTAAAAACGTGGTGAAAGGATTAACCTACCCAGCAGCTCCTCTGGTAGGTTGCCTATACGCTGACCTTGCCAAATATGTGTGCTTACCAAATTCAAACTAAACCAAGTGCGTCCAGCCCTGCCCAATATGTCTCTGTCCCTGTCAGCCTCTGGGGCAGAAAATGGAGGTCAAAGCCAAATAGATTATGCACCTTGGCAGAAAATGTAATGATAGATGCAGTGACTATTTAACTTTGCTCACCCTACCTTGAGACTTTGAATACTACAACCTTGCTTTCCATTTCACTTCTGTCTTATTTTCAACACAGCGGGCAGAGGAGAAATAAGAGAGGACAGAGTAAGCATTCTAAATGTCACACATCAAACTAGCTCTTCAGCTAAGCTTTAGGAATGTGTTTGCTCAATCAAAATGCTTGCAGATATATCTGTTTAGATTGAAGTGTCTTCTTCAGTGCCAAGAGATGCACATTTGCTGCCTTCACACTTCACTGAAATGATAAAGTACTAGGGGCATGTTTCATCCCTCTGTATTTTGTGTTGCCAGATGTACACCGCTTTGCCCTTGTAGATATCTTGTACTGATTATGTACCACATTGAGTCGTCGCACTGCAAGTTTCCAATACAGCAACTCTCAAACAAGCATTTACAAATATTTAAATGTCTGCAACTATTGTGCTAATTAGAGTAGAAGAATTATAATTGTTGTTAAATGTGCTCAAATGTCTCATTTATGGGACAACTACACATTTGAAGTACTTCAGACCTGTAAATGTACAAAATTGTTACTACACAACTGAGGTAGCCCCTGCAGCTCAATACTAAACTACGTGTACTACGTTAGCTGCGTATCTGTGAATTTTTAAATTTCACATGAAAAATAACTATCACTTAAAATCAAGAATTACCATCAATTTTTATTTGAGAGATTATTTGATGTGCTACAAGGAACCTGAGAGGAGTTTGTGGTGGAATAGTTTCCGCATAGCTGGTATTTTGGCTGAGTGCCCAGCACTAATCTTTACTGGGAAAAAACGATTGAGCTCACCAAGCATACAATGTTCTGTTGTAACTGCTTACTTACCATGCTTTGTCAGCTGTGGATTTGTTGTTGGTTGTGATGGTTTGGTGGGACGATGACAATAGTATCTGTTTGGTTAGGCGTCATTTTACAGGTCCTAGAATTTCTTAATGATGATCTAAGACAGTTCCTGGAAAGTATTGTTTCTAGGGAAAATAAAGTTACTAGTCAGACAGCACACAGGGTAAATACCCGCTTTAAGGATTTTATAAGAAGTTAATGGTTTCCATTGGAATTTTCTTGAAACAACTGCTTTAAGACTCTCTCTGATATGCTACGATCAATTGGAATGAATGTTGAATGAATGATTGAAAGTCAACCAGAATGATGCACCCATTTTCCTACACATCCTTTCCCGGAACCTTTTTAAGAAATGATTGTTATGTGACAATATCCTTATTATTAGGAAACTACAGCACCTGGGAAATAAAGTGTTGCCATGTTTGTGTTTTGCTGGGATAGCAGCAAATGCCAAAAAAACCTATGTATGATGTATGTTGCTTCCCTGACATGCTTTGTTGTTTCGAAAAGAAAAAAAAAGAATTGGGAAGGAGTTTAATGGCACGAAAAAGCCACCAAATTACATCTCACCTGATGAATCATAACTTATATCTACCAAATCCAAGAGTGGACATTACTTCTCTGTCCATTAATAACATCCGTTAGATTATTGCTTGAGTCTTGGCTTTTTAAATGTTTGGCATCACAGCATAATTAACTTAACCTTTGGCTCTCTCTCTCTCCACTGCCTCATCCCTTCACTATTCTTCATCATCACCATCCTCCCTCTCACTGCTGCCAGAGTCTGCTTTGCCCTTGGCTGTGTCAGACACATCCAGTTGTCTGTCTTAGCCTTTTAGGGGATACAAATGACCACCTCGATGTAGACAACAGCAATTTATTGTTTTTATGCTTCTGCCCTATCTAACCTTCTGCCGTTTTTTTTTAATCAATGACTCCTCCTGAGTCTTCATTATTGTCAAAGGGTATTTCATGCAAAATATGAATTGCAATGACGCCCTAACCCTTATAGCTCTGCCCACTTCCCATTTAAATGATCATGGTTTGTTTTCCACACACTGCGGTAACACTCGCACTGCATTTCCAAATCATTATTCTCACTGTGATTTGGGGGAAAATGTCTCGTTTCCCTTGTAATGTCCAATTGAAAAGAGACTAATGTCATTACTTAACCTTTTGGTAAATCTGTATATTATAAGCCTAATATCATTACTGTGTTGCACAAAACCCACATAGTTTGAAACCAAATGTTCTTCTGGTTAGACAGGGATGGCAAATTTGTTGCGATGTTTTAATCATATTTACTCTCTATATATGCCTAACCAGAGCAAAAATGTACTCTGCCTGGCTAAACATATGAGTATCTACATTTCTATACGAATATCCCGCTCGTGCCGGCGGGTCAGATCTGATAATGCTCCAATGATAGGAGGGAGGAACAGAAAGAGCGCGCTTTGAGACGGGAAGCTGCGCAGTGCTTTGCCTAGTGCGCACCTCCCCTCTCCATAGCGCACAAGAGCTTCCTCTCCCTTTACGGACCCCGCTCGCAAATCCTGCTCTTCGTGCCAGAGCCTGCAGCTGTCTCTGTTGCGTCCCACTGCTGCTGCTGTGGGAAGTCGTCGCACCGCGTGACGAACCGACGGCAGACTATACTCTCCTTGAAGTGTCTGCGCAAACCTGAAGGATATTGCAACTTTAAAACAGTTCCCAACACAGTTGGGGGGGCTGAATGAAAACACCTGACAGCTCGTAACGCCCCAGCTGCGTGGTGACTGGAATCTTTGCAGCTGTGACGGCTATAGGAATGTGGAATACATGTCTATCTCAGCGGTGAGTGTTGTAATACGTTTGAAACCCCTCTCTCTCTTTCTGTGTGTGCACAAGTGTTTGTCGGACTATGCGTAGGCGTTCCGCAAAAAAATAAGTTTGGAGCGTTAAGCGTCGAGTCTTTGCACGACTGGTTTTGAATGCAAACGTCGTTTAAAATTCGAAAACAAACATTTATAGCATATAGGAACAGGTCACTTATATATTTAACCTGTTATTGTGTGTTTAAGACAGCACTTTAATACCAAATATACGCTTAGACATGAAATATTTCCTCATCTGTCCATCCCTCTCACGCAGTAAAAGGACCTGCCTCTGCCCCTGACACCATGACCACGGAGCTGAACTTGACCTCTCTGCTGAATGTAACTGACCTTCACAATCACACAAGAGGATGTTCCCTCACCAGGACAGGTTTCCAGTTCTACTACCTGCCCATTGTTTACATCATGGTCTTCATCACGGGGCTGGTGGGCAACAGCCTGGCTATTTGGATGTTCGTGTGCCACATGAGACCCTGGAGCAGCATCTCCGTCTACATGTTTAACCTGGCGCTGGCTGACTTCTGCTATGTGCTCTCTCTGCCCTTCCTCATCTTCTACTACTTCAACAAAACGGACTGGATCTTCGGGGATGTTCTGTGCCGACTGCAGCGTTTTATATTCCATGTGAATCTTTACGGGAGCATTTTGTTTCTGACCTGCATCAGTGTTCACAGGTACACCGGGGTTGTGCACCCGCTCAAGTCTCTGGGCAGACTGAAGAAGAAAAATGCGGTTATTACCAGCGCGTTGGTGTGGTCAGTGGTTGTTATAGCCATCTCCCCCATCCTTTATTATTCCAGGACTGGCTTGAAGCGTAACGCAACCACTTGTTATGACACCACCACTGAGGATGAGTTGCCTGGTTATTTTATCTACAGCATGACTTTGACTGTGTTTGGGTTCTGCATCCCCTTCATTATCATATTTTGTTGCTATGGCATGATTGTCAAAGCGTTGATCTGCAATGATATGAACAACGCGCCCCTGCGGCAGAAATCCATCCACCTGGTTATCATAGTGCTGGCAGTCTTCGCCGTCTCCTACCTGCCTTTCCACGTGATGAAGAACCTTAACATGAGGGCCAGGCTGTACTTCCAGGGCCCTGACATGTGTGATTTTAATAACCGCGTCTACGCCACCTACCAGGTGACGCGGGGGCTGGCCAGCCTCAATAGCTGTGTGGATCCTATTCTTTACTTCCTAGCTGGAGATAACTTCAGGAGGAAGCTGTCACGGGCCACTAAAAAGACCTCCAGGAAGGGGGACAATGTCCTTCAGTCCAAGAGCGAGGAGACGGCTCTCAACAGCCTGGCAGAGTATGTGGAGAATGGGGACCGGAGGCTGTGACAGGGCACTTTGTCACAGGTGCGGATCCATGTTGGCTTAGAAAACAATGTGGACTATGTATTGATTAAATAAATGCACTGTGTGGACTGAAGGCTGTGTGTAAAACTTAATGATTGATGGCTTATAGAGCTGTAGGATAAATACTTAATTTAACCCTGTGATAACCATCGCAGCCTGTCGTTGTTGATAAGCTATCGTACTGTATCGTCATGTACACGTGTTTTACTCTAAATGTTAGAGCCATCACTCTTCATTCTTGTCGAGTAGCCGGAGTTCCTTACACCTTTGGACAAAATGAACAAGCTGCGGGAAATAGGTGTCCCTACAAGCTGTGATGTCCTGCTCATCAATTTGTTCTAGAGGAAAAAAAACCGGGACTGAGAACAGATTGCACCTCCTCTAGCCACCCAGCTGGTGCTTGATCAATAGCTATTAAGCAGGAGAGCTTGTGGTTAAGGAGGTGTGCCTGCGATGGCTTTTAGAGGGAAAAAGTAAATGCACTGAACCTGAGATTGCTGCATGGATGTGCCGTGCAGACATTGTAATGCACTATGAGGGGACTCTCTGCTCAGAGGGCCACCTATCACTCCTCATTTCTTTCTCCATCTAGTATGGACTGGGCGAGGAATGTGGTCGATTAGTTTATCATTTTTTGACGGCTCTGACGTTAAGGTCCGCAATGGCTCTGTTACCACGACCTTTCTCCCCTTGTTAACATGTTCCTTACAGAAAAAAAGAGAAGATAATACATACAGTATTTTTGTGTAAATAATACTACGATGAATGTTTTTTTTGGGGCGGTGTGCTGTACAGGATGTTGTGACGTTCCAGATTTCCAGTTTGTGTTGTTAAGTGTTCCAGTCGGTGTCACTAATCCAGACCTTAAGTGCATGAGCCCACTATCAAATGCCATCAGTGAAACACTATCCACAGCCGGTTACAACTAGTGTTTATAGCTCCATAGGGAATAAATAATGTCTCGCTAATGAGCATAACACACACACACACACACTCAATCACCTGCTTTGTGACTCCAACATATTGAAGACTTGTTTTGAATGCGATACCTCAAAGTAAATACTGCACTATGTCCTTGTTTTGACAGATAATCATTTCTCTTTTGCATCTGTTGTAATCACTGTGGAGAAATGATTGTGGAGTGTGTGTTTCACCCTGGACTGCGTATAGGTGTTTGATGTCTGTACTAATACATTTGTTAATCTGTAATGTGGTCAGCTATTGTCAAGAAAGGAAGTGACTGTACAGGATATTTGGGGCCACGTGTATCTTTGTCAATAAATTTTTATATTTAAAATGTGCCAGACGATGTAATAAGACTTGCATAATTCTTTCAAGATGGTGGGTCATTTTAAGGCTATGATTTGAAGCATTTACGTCTCCTTCTTTGTGCCAGCTGCATGTGTCCTTAGCTAAATGTGTGCACTGTGACGCTGAGTGAACAAACACTTTTGGTTGTGGAGACGTTCCTGCAGAGATCCGTCCTCTCGCTGCTCCTCCTCTCTCTCTCCGCGCTCCTGTTGAATTTATTTCCCAACACAGCCAGGAGGAAGCGACGGGACGAGGGAGGAATAAAGAGTGGCACCTTTTTCTCCTGGCTTATCCTAAGACAGCTTTTGTGCCCGTCACAATGGTGTGGAGTTATTGATGTAGACAGGGGTGAGAGGCTGTCGCCAGGACCCCAGGGCTGCGTGCCATTGTGGGCACAGGAAACCGACCAACCCTCTTCCTCCAAACAGGGCCCGAATACAAACGGCTTTTGATTTCCTGGCTCTGAGGTGCAAACTGCATAGCTGGACTTGGCAAACGAGTGTGTGTGTGTGTGTGTGTGTGTGTGTGTGTGTGTGTGTGTGTGTGAGTGTGTGAGCGTGTCTCTGTGTGTTAGGGAGCCCGAAGGCAACGGAGAACTTATTTGAGTAAGTGGCTGTTATTGCCATAATATCTGTTTGTTGGTCATTGGTTGAGGTTTCATCATCAAAAGGCACCGTGACATGCACATGGGCATGTTAATATGTATGTATATGTGTATGTATATATATCCTCTGTGCTCCATGTACACGTGATCAGATGAAAGCAAGTTGAGATTCAGCCAGCACCAGATCTCGAGCCAACGCCAGTGCGTTTGAGTGTCAAATCTTGACTTGCAGAAAGTTGGGATGCGTGCCAGTATCTCCTCCCTCCCTTCTATGCCACCTTTCACCTATTTTCTCTCACAACCTCCGTTCTTTATTCTCAATCTAGAATTAGAAAAAAAGCCTTTTCTTCACTGTATTTCACTACCTTCAAGGGAATACTGTTTGTATAAGCGCTGGGAAGAAACAGAAGGAAGAGTCGAGTGTGAAGAGTAACGGCAGCTGTGGAGAACAAAGATTGTGGGTGTTTTTCCCGAGGACGCTGTTGGTGGCAGGGGGGGGCCCACGGGGGAATCACAGTCAAGACTGCTAAACTGAAATACTGAGCTTTGTTCCTGGAGATTTACAACGGGACCTGGCACACCTATACTTTCCTCACAGGGGCACCGGCTGCTTGAGCCAAAAACGAACCACACGAAACCCAAACATGATCAAAATTTCAGCGTTTTGGTCTTTGGTGAGCAACCCATAAACACTCATGGGACAGTGTGAGTGCATGCTGTGCTGTTGTTTTGCTGCACAATTTAGTGAACACACTGACATCATTTGACAATGCTGCAAAGGTCACACAAGGAAATATAAACTCTGATGACTAGAGTTGCTGCTGCATCATAATGAATCATGCAATGACCTGTAACCTTATCAGGCTTTAGTTTCAGATTTTATATTGAAGATAACACTTGAGGGAGGGAGGTACAGTGTTTGTATACAATTTGATGCAGTTTTTCAGAAGATGTCACACAACGAGGTACATGTTTTCCGCATTAAGCAATTAAGTAAACACTTCAGGGAAATATTTTGTTAAGTAACTCTTGGTTACAACACTGTGCTACTGCTACGCTCTGATGTTAACATGTGTTTACTTGCTCCTATCATGGCATCCACCAGATGCGAAAGGTGAGGGAGTGCATGCAGTTGTGCACACACACACACACACACACACATATTAATAGTCAAACAGAGTAATGACTTAATTTAGCAGATTTGATGAAAAAGGCTTCAAGACAACACATTATCGCTACTGAACATGATTGTTAAGGTGGGACGACATGGAGTGTTTTATTAGACCATACAGATGAGTATGTATCCATGACCATGAATGTGTTTAAACTCAAATCTGTCTTCCTTGTTTGTGTGTTACATTCTTAATATTTTATGAATTTGCAACCATTGGTGGAAAGCAAATAAATACATTTACTGAAGTACCCGAGAGAACAATATAAATGTTCTTGTACTTCAGTATTTAGATTTATTTCATGGTTAAATAATATACATTTTACTCCACTAAATGTATTTGGAAGCTAAATCTATTATTTAATTTGCAGAATATGCTTTTAAAACATATAAATATGATGCATTGTTATAAGATCCTGCGGGATCCCGGCCAACATACTGTCTTTAAAAGATTGTAGTCTTATAGGTACTGGCATCATAAGAAGACGACCAAATTAATTCATTGGCACCATGTCATGCTAGCTTGTCGAGAAGGGGGCTAAATAACGCACTAAAGTTAGGGTAAATTTTGCCGAAGGAAAACTGGAATGGCAATTTCTGAAGACAGACATGGCCACTTTATTATGAATCAATCTGGCTTAAACCATGCAGTTTTTTGCATGCAGTATAAATGTAGTAGTATTTATATATAGTGCAGTATATTATTTTCACCTGTTCAAAAAGTGTGTATTTGAATTAATTAATTAATGTTTATTTCTAATTTATTACTTGAAGCAATTGACACACAGTGCTGAGCTGCATTAATCTTCAGGTTCCCAGCTTTCAGATGATGTACCACCATTTGAAAGTGCCTTCATCCTTTCAAGTGTTGATTGTACAAAGAAATATTATTTCTAGTGAGTAGTGAGTATTTTTACATTTTTTCTGATAATACTGACAAGCAAAAAAAATCAAATGTGGATTTTGTAACGTGCCCTGCTCTTGCTTTTTTTTATTCTTTGTTTGGATCAGTTTGATTCATGTCATTAATAAAATCACGTTTGTTTCCTGTTTTATTTTGTTACTCACCTCTCCTACTGTTTCAGATCACTTCACTTCCTGTTTATGTGTGTTTTCCCGCCAGTTTTGACTGCGTGCCCCGCCCTAATGAGTTTCACGTGTCCCTCGTTAAGCCCTGCAGTCACCAGACCTCCTGCTCACCTGCTACAACTTCCCCATTAGTCACTCACTAACCAGTTCCTTTATTCTTTGTCAGTTTGTTGTTGTTGTTGCTGCAAGGACTTTGGGGTTTCCTGGTTTCTGCTAGTTGTACCTGGCTGCCTTTTGGACTGTGTCCCCATAAAACGGTTTTATTAAACTCAATATTTATTAAAGGTACCTTCATTGCAGCCTGCCTGTCCTGCTCTCCAAACCTTAGCAGAGTTTTTTTACATTGTGATCTTGCTACTTTTACTTTTAGTAAGGATTCTAAATACCTCTTTTCCCACTGGGTGTAACATGTGTAAGTAAATAAGATTTATTTTTAGCTCTTAGTTTTGCAATGAGAACATCTAACATGAAGTAGAATTGTAACAAACCCAAGAGCAACTAAATGCAATTTACCAGACAAAAATAACACAAAAGCCAAATATATGTCAGAAGCGAGTAAATATAAGCAAGTTCTGAAGTATTTTTTTATTTATTTCAGTTGAATTGGATAATCTTAACAATGACCATCCTTTCTTTTGTGTTTGTAGATCTGCATCCACGATCAACTTGAGTTATTGGCTTACTGGTTGACATCCACAAACCAGGGTCTGTGATTACATGGGGTTAAAAGTTTGACCTGGATGTGAGAGGAAGATGTGCGAAAGTCTAAAAGTGGTTGGTGTTGTACTGATAACGGTATATGTGTTAAGTAAAGCTAATGCTGTTTGCAGTTTAGATATCAGAATGTCAGTTTTGCCAACAGAGTGACAAGAGCATCGCCAGAGCGCAGACGAGCTGGCCTGTAGATAAAAGTTATGAGATAAGAAGTGAAAGCTCTGAAATGAGCTGAGGTTAAATTACAGGTTGCTCGCTGCTTGAGAGGATAGGGAAGGGACGAGATAAGGCTAGGTGTGAGCACAAGAGGCTGAGAACTACGGCGACACCGCATGTGCTGTAGGCATATAAAAAAAGCTGCAGGAGAAAGAAAGTACTGAAGAAGAAAGAGTAGAGCTAAAAATAAACGGGCACATGCTGTTCTGTGCAGTATACATACAGCATATACAGGTGCTAGTGAAGGATGCGGGAGGAAGAAAAATGGATTAAGGTCACAATAGTAAATAGAGAGAAATTTGTTGATGTAAAAGGTAAACAAACCTTAATCTTAATGTAGCAGGTTTGGCAGATCACACCAATTACTGCGCAGGCTTCTGCAATCTAAGTGAAAGACGAAGGACCATTGATCATGAGGCCGAAATATTAAATGGTTTCTAGAAATATTTGTACCTTCTGAAACAAGATCCACTCAAATTTAAGTTAGAATAAAACAGTAACTAAAAATAAAAAATACATAGTTCTAGTTTGGAGCTTTTCTCTGCCTGCAGCCCGTCTGCAAGTTATGAAAGTACTGTAAAGGGTGAAGATCGAGCTACGCGCGCCACTGAAAGTCCAATGCTTTTATTAGCTGGCAACCCGTCAGTCTGCCCGCTATCCTGCTGCGGGGTGGATGACAAATCTCTGAAGACCAAAGTTTATACACCGGCAGAATACATCCACTGCACCATTTTCACAGTGTGTCAGTGTGTGTTACAGAGAGAGGGAAAAAGCTTGTGTGTACAAAAGCGAAAGGGAACAAGAGCTTTGCAACAAGCGGTGTGTAGGCATCTCTATATATACAGCAGGTGAAAAATGGAAATATTGAACAAACATAACCATATATGCCATCTAAGGAAAGGGAAGTATTGACTTTCGCCTTCGCAGGTTCACTCCCCCTCACCACTGTTGGTTTGCTGTCAAGCTATGTGTGGTGGGATAGACATAAGCCTCGTGGGACTCCTACACCATGAACTACAAGCTACCATGAAGATTCATTTTTATTAAAAGCTGATTTATCTCTTGAGTTTTATCAGTATGGATCCTTTATTATCTTAAAATGGTAGAGGATCATAAGGAAACCTTTATAGAAGCTTAGTAATTGATTGAATGCCATATGTCTTGGCCAGTACATGACTCTGCAGGGCAATCAGACTACTGT